ATATATATATATATATATATTCATTTATTCATTTAAGATGCATGTTTCTTGTTGTTATTATGCATATTTATTTCCTGTAGTTTTACTTTCAGCTGTCAAATTGGCGACTCAAGAACAGTTGTTAACAACAGCCCGTGTTCGCCACCCGGCGTTACGGAAGACTACAGCAATTACCGATGAAACAATAGAAGAAGAAAGTGTATCAAATGAATTACAACAGTGGTCAAATGGCAATACAAATGGTACTAGTTCATCTCTACCCAGCAAGCGCGCTGCTGCACAACCAACAGCAACAATAGTCTGTACCAAAAGTGAACCTCTTTGTAGCGAAGATATCGGGGTTCCTCCGGCTATACATCATCACCGAAACACTTTACCGGTACATGCACATTCGGTTCCACCAATGCGTTCTTATAGGCTTCATGATATATCCGCTATGAATACGGTACCAATTTTTCATCCTTAATATTACCACCATACATGAATGCTTTATTTTACGATTTTAAAATACATGAAATCGTGAAATTTTAAATTCATTAGATTTTATTTTTATTTCAAATTCATCAATATACTCTAATTTACAACCTATATTTATGAAATTCATCGTTAAATGTTTCCCCATGTTAAACAATTTACTGCAAATATATTTCAGGTTAGAAGTTGTGATGGGAATTTCTCAGAAGAATTGAATGGTTCATTATCCGATACTCAGAATTTGCATAAACATCAGGTTTACTTGAGCAAAAAATATTCAAAAAAATTTCAAATTAATGTAGAATTTGATCAATTTGCTACAACTCTGTAGATATTAATGTGGCTGTTTAAAGGAGGCAGTGTTAGTTCTGTGGTGTTCAGGTTCCGAATGATCCTTCTGGTTTGAGCACAGTCTACTGTCGTGATACCGGTGTTACGTTACCGCTCAATAGTCATTTAATGCCACCAAAATCTGTAATACAGGATGACATACGTATGAAATTGGGAAGATTTGAGCTGGTGAAGAAAAAAGGCAGGTCGGAAGTATGGAATTTGTTTGGCCAAGTTTGTTGTTTGAATTTATTATGAAAAGATCATATAAACGATTTAACCTTTAAGTTTCGTCGAAATGAGCATTGTAAACGCTACTTTTTGCGATGGTAAAATTCCATTTGAAGTAGTTCCGCTTTAGCAATGCCAAGCCGAACAAGCATGATTTGTAATTAAAGTGAAATTTAGTGACTAACACCAAAGATTCTTGACCTTTAGTTTTATGAACTAACTCTTACCCTAGTGATACTTTTCAGTTGAAGGCGAAAGTTTCGTAATTTATCTAAAAAACTTCATATAAGACTCGTAACAAACAATGGTTAAGCGTTGTACATCGTTTCTTGCAATTTTTTCATTTCTTAAAAAAGTTATTATTTGTTTTTCTTTTCAGGTTTTAGATACTATTACTGGTGCACGTTTACCATATGTTGCTTGTTATGCATGTAAAGTATTGTACACAGATACCGGTGGTGGAACAGGTAATATGACTCGTCACAGATGTCCAATCGGTAGTAGTTACAAAGATAACAGTGTCAGGTATGATGCATCAATAAATATCATTAGATTCACAATTTAACTGTCTAATTTGCTCGCGAAAATATTCTTAATATTTATTTGAAAATATCGAATCTTAATGTAATTTGCATCTTATTGTAGATTTTCGATTTTATTTATAGCATGTCTACGGAAACGAGTAATGAAAGCCAACAACCTTTTGAAGTTCTTGCATCAGGATGTGGTGGTCAACTATCTCCGGATACAGCCTCTACATATAGAAGAGTGTGATATTTACATATTCTCTTTTTGCGATTCTTTTCAAATTATAGTAGCAACATATATAGCAGTTAGATTTAATAGCTTATTTTTTGTTAAGCACTCATATTTTTTTGTTCTGCCCAAACTGTTATGAGGTTTTAGGAGTCTCCAGCTCCACCTACAACTTTGCATTCTGGACTCACGGCTCAGTCATCATTTGAGACGTCATTCAGTGATTACGATCGCAAACTGTTCTGTAGTGCAGTAGTTCGATGTTGTGCGGCTGATTTACTTCCACCTGCCATTTTTCAGGTTTTTTTAAGTTTTACTTCTACTCTTTATCAAAGTCAGTGCTCTCAACTGTTATGTTGTACTTGCTTGTTTTTAGGCACTGAAACTTTTTGACATGAGTCTGTATCACTTTTTTGTTACAGTGACTTCAAGATTTAATCAGTATGTCGCTCCCTTTGCTTGCAAATCTGATGTGTTTTATCACCTTTCCTTGCCTTTGCTGATTATTATCGTATTAATTGCGCTGATTGTATGTTGATTATCAAACTTTTTCTTAGGGAGAAGGAATGCATGGTGTGATTGAAACAGCTGTGTCTATAGGACGGCGTTATCGCTGTCCGGACCGTCAATCGATTTCCTCTCTTATCCCCGAAACTTCCACTCTGAATCAAGTTAGTACTTCACTTTTTATTGTTTAGTATAATAAATTTTCCAGCCTTCTTACACCATACGTAATCATATTACCAAAAATAAGAATCATTTATTCAGGTTATTGAAGCTAATACAGCATTAGTATTATCCGAGTTGACTGCTGAAGTGGGACAAATTGCTCGAACATCTGGATTCTCGCTTTCTGTGGAGCGGGTTGCAAATGAAGATGATATTGCTGTCGTTTCTGCCAATTATATTTCAGCAGACTGGAAATGTAAACATCGAGTAGTAAAGTAAATCTTATTCATTCATTTAGCTGAATTTGAAATTTTTGAAAAATATCAAGTTTTCATGACCATTTCAATCAATAACTATGTGATTTAACTATTACATTCAATTGGTTCATGCTTTTTTAGTGTTGATACACTGGAGAAAATGAAAACTGGGTTAGGGACATTAATCAGAGAAGCGGGTGAATCCAAAAGATTATTATACGTTACGGAAAACATCCCTAGCTCTAATGGGCAAGCTCACCTTTGCTGTATATGTTACACATTGAATAATGTAGGTTTTAAAAATTAAATAACCATAAGTATTTCAATAAGCGACTAAACAACGAAAGATAATATTTTTAAAATGGCTATTTAACTGTGTTTTGATAGTGCTTGAGCATTTCACGCATATTGTCATGATATTTTTCTGCCACTATGTTCTATTTTAGAAGTATTGTGTGTGACTGCGTTTTCAACTTTTTCCTGTTTTTTCATATAACGCCTTTCATTTTTTGTAATTTATTAATGACATCGACCAGAACTTGAAAGTAATCAAATCTAACCAACCTAACTATTTCTTTTTCAGCTCATTCATGAAATTTTTGGAGAGTCATATGATCAGAAGCATAACGTGTTTTCTATAGTGACAACCTGCCAGAAAATAGTTTGTAAGTTTTTTCACTTTTTTAGCCTACTATAACTGTGTTTTATTTTTTCTGCATTTCTTATTTGTACTTCGATTTATTCTATGGACAATGCATACATTATATTTTTTACAGCCACTATACAGAAATTAGGTCTGGATCGTTGGACTGATCCACCAGTTGAAAACAGAGCTGGACGACTTGACTATTTATTCTACGTCTACGAAATGTTGAAATATGTTAGAGATTGTGTTCAGCATTTGTCCATCTCGCAATATATAGGTATGGTTTTAAAAAATTTTTTTTCGGCTTTTTGGTGTTATCTGTCTTGTTTAAATGTTGGTTTTGTACGGAAAATTTTTCACGTAAGAAATTTTCCTCATTTTTGTTCTGTTAGTCGTGATGTTTACTACAAAACTCTTACAGTACGTTGAACAGTAAAGTAGATAAGAAACCAAATGTTTTTTTCCGGCCCGTAGCATTTTCACGATTTTTCATATGTTAAATGCATAATAACTTCACAGATATTATGGCATTGGTAAGATCACTTGATTGGTCTGTTGTTGATGAAATTCGAAAGTATTTGGAACCATTTCATGTTATGGCATCGATTTTTAACAATAAGTCTACCATATCTTTTCATATGGTAATAATTATTTGTGGATTGTGACCAGATATTTATGAGTCTTGTGTTTTCTTTTACAAATTTTATAGTTACTTCATTTTGCTAGGTGCAACCAGAATGGTTCGCATTAATCCATGAATTCTCGTCAGATGATGAAGATGGCGCGGTAAATAATGATATCTCTGCCTGGATGTATAGTCTTCGGCGAAGGACGGAAGCTATCTTACGGAATGCTACAGAAACCGTAATTACCCCTGAACATCGTATGGCAACTGTTTTGAATCCTCGCCTCAAACATTTACCAATTATTTGTTCGGATGCAGAGAGGTTTTTTTTTTCTTAATTTTACTTTTATGAAACTTTTTTTATGTGAAAATGGCAGTTGAAAATTTTTTTAATATACCCACTTATTTGTATTTATCAAAATTATTTTTACAGAAATAAAGTTTCTTCATTTTTGTATAAGGAATGGGCCAATTATTTATTTTATAGGTTGGAAACTTATTCAAGAATACGTAAACTAATTGGAACATCAGAAGGAAGAAGTGTGAAAATTGATGATCATACAGTTGGTAAGGTTTTTATTTGCAAAGGCTTCTTTGTAAGATACAACTAGTGTAGAAAAAAGCAAAGTAGTAACATCATTTACTAGTTCCATTTTTGCGATACTTAAAATTTTGCTGAATTTGGTGAGCAGTATTATTATATATAGGCGCGAGTGATGGTGAACCTCCAAAGAAACGAATATCATTTTTAAGTTCATTGGAAGATCACGCAGTTATTGACGATGAGCTTGAATGCTATCTACGTTCGCAATATCCAGCACCGCAAACAAAGTTCTTATTTAGGATCCATTTCTACTACATTTATGGTTTTCCCTTTTACTGTAAAAAATCCAAGATTGTATTTTCAAAAGTTATCCTGTGTAAAAAATCTCAGATTTCAGTTTTTTTTCAATTTCACTTTGATTGCAACATGGAGATAAACTTTGTTCGCTTTTTGAGTCAGGTTGTTTTTACATGCTTCGTAATATTACTTTTAGGGATGTCTTGCAGTTCTGGTCTACGGTTGGACAAGCGCAGTTTCCACATTTATCATTGTTGGCTCGATTTCTGCTTTCTATTCCCGCTGCTTGTATGGTTCACAAAAGTCAAAACATTTTAAAATTGACTCCGGAACATCTATCAAGTTTGCTTCTTTTGCGGTCATCTTATGCACTGATAACTTCTAATGGTCACTTCAGTACTGATTTGAACTGTTCAACTGCAGGAGCGTCGTTACCTAAAATTATAAATACCCACAACAATGCTTGAGAATTTATCAGAAAATGTGGGTCGTAGCTTTTCTACAATGTTATTGCAAGTGTTTGAAAAGAAAGGAGCAAGATCTAGTTATTTCATATCATACTAATGCTATAATATCTTGCCGACCATTTATTTGAGAGAGACTCACTCTTTTTGGATCTACTTTTTTGTTCTATGTTAATTGGTAGAACTGTATAAACAATCACTAGATTATCATTCACATATTTTGCGTTTAATCTTTCTATCTTATATATACCAGTTAGAACCTACGGTGTCGTGCCATTTCTTAATATATATGTCATTAGGTTGTAAATTCAGTCACTTTGATATATTGAAATTTCTTTGTTTGATATTATCAAATTTAGTTTTATTATGAATATTTTGAGATAATGAAATGAAAATGATTTTGCAAATTGCTACTGTTTGGAATTATAATTTTTGAAATTTGTAATTTTTTCTGCTTAGATGACATGATTGTAATCATGACAGAATTAGATGTAAGAATAGTGTAATTTTTTAAAATATGTTGCTGAAAGATGATCAAGTATGGAATGAAGAGGATGAGATTGGCAGAAGCAGTTGCTTTGTCGTAAGCCATTATCATAAAATTATAGGAAACAATTACTTGATTCTTTCGTTAGATATGCTTAGCCATAGTTGGTACCTTGTCATTCCATTAGTGGTATTTCTTTAAAAGGTATTCGGTCTGCTAGTTTTGTATATTTATTTGTATATCGTTAAATAAGTTTTGATTTGATGATGTGAAACCGGTTATTTTAAAAATTTCATATTTTCATAACACGTGTTTCTATTGTACTGTATTCTTGTCGATTTCAGATAACTCTGATCGGTTTTTTTTCTTAATTTTTTGTAGGAAAGTGTGTTTTTTCTCGAACTGTATATTATGAAGAATAGTTTTAAGAGGTCTTTTATTGGATTGTGTTCTTCTGTTTCGTGTAGTTACAGTGGTTTTTGTGGAAACATGTTAGGCTTTCTTTTCTGTCTCATGACTATTGTTTTTGTGAATAATATGTTAGGCGTTCTTTTCTGTCTCATAACTATTGTTTCTGTGAGGCATGCCGTTATGATTTGCCACATTCTGATCTCATTTGTTTTTTGTACAACTTTTTCTCATTTCCTCATTTTAATTGTAGTTTGTGGTTTTTATTAAATAAATGCCTTAGTTTTGTGATATTATTAATTAAGCCTGTTTAATGTACATTTACGAAGTATGGTAAACTGATTTTATTCTAGGTGTTCCTAATCGTCCTTTTAAAATTCTTGAAGATAAAGATATATACAAATATAATATTTATAATTGTTGTATCCGATCCGTTCATTTGTTAACCGTTTGATTTAAATCAAAAAAGTTAAGTTTTTATTTTATATTAGATCTATTTCTTATCTTGATGAAAGAGTATTCAAGTATTTCATACTTGATACGAACAAATTCAGTCTCTGCTTTTGAATAGCTAAAGACGTTATTGAATACGAAGCATTTGAAGGAATATTTCTTTCAAGATGCAAGGTCGTTGCATATCTGTGCATAATTTCAGTAAACCATTAAGGAAGCCACATGATTGACTCATGAATTCAATATCACAATATATTCTTGCGCGTTCCAGACTCACAATTCCATTCAGATTCTTAACTTCATCTCTTCATAGAAAGGTACGCCTTATAACTTTTTGACATGGAAGTTTCAAGTACTTAAAGTTTATCGTAACTCCAGTTTACGTGCTTTGGCAGTATAAATCTCAATTCTTTGTAGTAGTGAAAAATTTATGGTCGTTGTCTGTTTTATACTTTGTATTCAAGGCGAAAAGTCAGAAGTATTCTCTTCGAAGTCCTTCAACTGTAGAAATGGGGATGACTACTTTAGATTCCGCAGCTATGAGTAAACAAATCTTCGATTACTTTCTTGTCCTTGATTTTGAAGCAACCTGTGAAGAAGGAAAGAAAATTATGCCGCTTCAGGTACTTTACTTTTTCAAAAAAAGATGTCTATTTAAATGTAAATGGTATGCTTAATTTCAATTCAAACCCACCAGTAATCACTCAAATGAGAGAAAACGATCATTTTTTTGATTACTTTTTTCATTGTTCATTAACCAACATTTAAGGAAATAATCGAGTTTCCAGTTATGCAGTTATGTGGAAGGACTTTTGAAGAAGTAGGTCGGTTTCATCGGTATGTGCGACCTACTGAACGTCCAGTTCTAACATCATTCTGTACACATCTTACTGGAATTGTTCAAGTATATTTATAAATATTTTTATACATTCAGCACTTTGAAATTTTTGGTGCTTTTTCGATAAATGAATAATTTGGATGGTTATATCGAGTTCATACTGTTCAGAAAAGATTTTATCAGGAAACAGTGGCAAAAGAAGAGACTCTTCCAGAAATTCTGGATGCTTTTCATACATGGCTTGTCGATTCTGACTTAATTGGCACTAATAATTTCGCAGAATCAAGATTCACATTTTTAACATCTGGAGATTGGGATCTTGGCGTACTGCTGCCGAATGAGGCAAGATATCGACGTCTACAGCTACCTGAGCAAGTGTTTCAATTATTAATTATGCCCATAATCAGGAATGATGAGAGATTTGCTAGCTATAGTAGTGTAATTTATTTGATTCTGAACATCTCTTTATTCTCAATCATAATATTCGCATTAGCCCCAACTTTAAGGAAAAGAATGTCTAACACATCATGATTATTAAGGCATTATCAAACTGATTGCTCGATTGTCTTGAAATTTCTTGTATAATAGTTTCCTTTCACCTATAATGTGGTGAAATTTAGGTACTTCAAAAGGTGGATAAACCTAAAGAAAGCCTTCTGCAAGTGCAAGGGTCATTTCGCCAAATCTCTAACCGTCATGCTTCATGACCTGAAACTTGATCATGTAGTATGTTCTCGACATGTTTGTAAATGTTATATATGACTTCTGATAATTTTTACCTCCAAACTTTTTCAGTTGAATCACACGTTCTTCTCTTGGACCCACGATTCAGATTTTTCGAATCTTCTCACCCAATAAAGCTCGTGCTCATTTGATCCAGAATATTTTTTAATTTTAGGGTCGATTACACAGTGGCATAGATGACGTCAAGAATATGTGTCAGATTGCTAAATGCCTTGCAAACAGCGGATATCTGTTCAAAAATACATCAATTTATATAGATGAGAAGCGCCATTTCGAAAGTTTATGATATGCACTTATTATTCATACATTTTGCACTGATTTTTCAATGTCTTTGTGCAAGACATCTCGAATTTTTCCTTCGAGCAGTCTCAATATATTTTTGAATCAAATATCGCGAATCATCACACTTTAAAACATAATTAGTGAAGCTTAAATACAGTAGCTTATAAAATGAGATCAAACAATGTGATATCCTCTTGCTAATTTTTCGGCACGTGCTTTTCGATCTGTGCCACTGCCTGTACGTGAAATACGACGTCTCAGTGAACGTGAGCGCGAACGTTTCTGAAATGAAAAGCTTTCAAGCTTTAATGTTCACAGTTTTTTGAAGCATGAAGATTTTGAAACAGACGTCTAGTTCAGTAATCGAGCAGAACGTTGAAAAAATATTGCATTTCCTATATTATGTGTTTGTCAGTACATTACCGAAATTTTTCCAACAGCCTGATATTTTTGAGAATTGAAATTCCAAAAATGACATATCATTACTGCGTTGAGGATAAAGCATACACCTGAAACATTATTACAAATTTTAGTGAGTCAGGATGTATTTTAAATTTCGGTTTTTGGCAGAAAGAGAGAGGGACAGGAAGTGACGATGGAAATTTAATAACTTTATTAATATATGGTACTAATATCGCGAATTCAATCACGATAATGTCATCATAATTGTGATTGCAGTTCAAGAATTAAACGTGCAGTTTATAGCATCAACCAACCAATAGCTACAGAACACAGTAACATCATTCCACTTAATCCGTTGACTATTCCGGTACGGCTTTTCATTTTGCTAAGATGGTCAATCCATATTCCCGTCGTTATTACTGATAAGAGATTGCCAACAGCCGATATGATACAAAGTACTAGCCACATGATGAGCATCATTTTCCATCGATACCTAAATTACAGATTCTAGGTTTAGAGTTATATATGTTTAGTCTTGTTTTTCCAAAACAATTTGTTTTGATGTAAGCAAGCGCATGTGATAGAAACTATCGAAAAATATAAAAATTAAAGTTTTAGAATTTTGAAGAAAATTAGTAAAAAGAAATTACCTATGTACAACTCCTAGACCTATAGAACCGCTGCTAATGCCAACAACTGCAGCTACTACATTCATGTGACATGTTCCCTGATAAGCGGCTTCTTGAGCAAAACCTGGACATGTGAAGCCATGTAATAGAAAGCATAATGATACAGCTATTTCAACTCGACATAAATTAACCATTATTGATAAGTAACTGAAAAGAAGTTATTCGAAAGCGAGCAGGATTTAATGTTATGAGATTCGTTGTTACTGGAAGACTTTTCTGTCAAATATTTATCACTTCAAACTACTATACCATTCTATAGCACCTTTGAATTCAAAGAAGAACAATAATCAAAAAAGCTTGCGGTGTAAGTAGCTATATATGCTATATATATGCTTATTGACGTTTTTTGGAAAATAATGCAAGTCTTATTTTAAAAATGCAACAAAGAATAGCATAACGTAATAACTGAAGTAATCCTTCTACTACAAGCAAATGATGAACTGCAAATTTGTTTACCTTAATAATTAAAAACAAATTTGAAAACTTGCTTGTGCAGTTTGAGAGAAGAAATGACATTTTAGACTTAGTTTAAAGAATTTCTACCTCAATATTCTTTCTAATAAAATTTCATTCTACGCGTTTATAAGCTAAATTGCTATAAATGCTTGGTAATAATAAAAAACAAATTTGAAAACTTGCTCCGTATGTTGAAATCCTGATTTTTGCATTACCGTATATGCTTTATATCGTCTCTTTTGTGATTTCCCTTCTTCAAGCCACACGTCTTCGTCGGTCTCTGAACTCTGAAAACACTCATGATTTCCACTATAATATACCACAACTAATAAGGACATTTAATTTGATTAATGAAAAAGTCACTTAACGAAGAAAAGACGCAAAAATTACTCGAAGCGAAAAGGTCAAATAAAAAATATGCCAAACATGCTATCAAAAATAACAAATTGCCTTACATAGTTTTCTCAAAATTTAACTGACACCGATTTATATATAATTTTGATTCAATTGTATATAATTAACTTCTTAAGCTTATATCAGCATAATTTGTTTTATGCTAATGCTATGGCTATATTAGCTTATGCCTACTACCATTAAAGGCTATCAATCAATCAATTATAATAATAATTCAATCACAATAAAATTCTTATAAAGTATAAAAAGTTCACCATTTGGCTGCTCGCCTTATGCACGATACGTAGTGTTGGATCTTCAAGTGTCTTCAGTAATTCCATTTGTCTTCTCTAAACGCTTGAAAACTAGTTTTCTACCAAAGTTATTTGTATATTGTAACAATTTTGTAGCCAGTATTCATTTTCTGGTTGCAATTTATAGGTTCTGTAAATTTTTTTACCATTTTTCTTTGCACAACTCCCAGTTTGCATTGAATTTGTTTTATAGTTTAATTATTTTTTTATGTCGTCAAAATATGGCCAAATACAGTGAGAGAGTAAGAATAGAAAAATACTTCTTTCGGCAAATAAAAATTATTGAAGGTAAAAAATGAGAAAATTTATAAGGTATTCAAATGTATAACTTTATAGTATAACGCTTATAATCCTTGGTGTCAAGAATGAATTAATTGCCTCGTAATACTTTACGTTTTTTATCAGCCAAAATTTGATTACAATCATTTTATGCCAAAAAAAAAATGCAACAATTGAAGAATGAGCGTTAAGAGTACAGTAGTACAGCAGAAGTCAAAAGTAAAGTTTAAGTGGTAGAAAATAAAGGAGTAGTTGTAGAAATACGCAATAAGATCAAAGGCTATGACCACGCAAGAAGTGCAAAATAGATATGAAAAATAAATATGTATGCAATTCTTGCCAGAAAATTTAAAATCTTTGCTTATTTTTTTCTTTTTCTTTTATTAATTTGCGTAAATGAAAGCATGCTTAATAAAGCACTTAAAATTGCTACCTTGAAATTCATTACAGCAATAGAAAACTGATTGTTTCAAATGAAATACTTGAATGTTTGCTACAGTTAATAAGAATACTTAATAGTTAAATTATAAGGTTACTGCAATGATCGAAAATGTGAGCCAAGAAAAATCAGCCTTATTCTTGCTAAACATTGTGCTGACAAAAGTGAGAATGAGAATAGTTATGTACAATTCAAACAAATTTGAAATGTATTTGTTTGAAATAATAATTTAAGTACATCAAAGTAAAAATTTTAGCAGACTTCCTTACTTATTAAAAATTGGCATTTTATTTTGCTTGCAAAAATCTTTCTCAGTAATAAATTAGATTAACCGTTTCTTAGAAGAAAAAAATGCCGTTTTTTTAATAATTCAATTGAAACTTAGTTGTAACAAGCTGAATCTCATAAGTCGCATTGTTTAGCATGTCTAAACGAAAAAAATTACTTCATGGAATGATTTTATTCAGTCTTGTTTTCGTAAAAGCAATAAATAAATAATAAGTTCGTAATTGAAAGAAAATAATTTTGTCAAACTAAAATAATTAACAAATAAAATGTGACACAAACAATGATGATTAGAAAGATAGATATAATAGACGTATTCATCAACACAAAATAAGTTGTTGAAAACAAAAAATATGATGCAAAAGTTTCACAAAAAATATGCTAAAAACTACTAAAGTAATTAATTAGGAGAAAAATCTCACAAGCAGTCTGTTTCTTTATGTTACCTTTGCAACTTGAACTTGTAGTTTCAAATCATTCATTTTCTAATCAGACTAGCTGAAAAAAAAACTGATATAAAAGAAAGTGTTGTCCTTGATTATAGACAATAAGTGAAGAATTTATATCATCGATATAATGTCATCGCAATCTTCTTCAAGATCAAATGTACAATAAATTTTATCACTTTTACTAACATTATATCAATGCTAAGTATGCGACAATTATGAACATTGTGAAAAAAACAAATAAAAAATAATAAGAAATCTCGTTGTGGCATTACTTTTCAATCCTATCAAATAATTGTAATGACACACATGAGAATCAATTCTATTAACTGTCACTGAGTTAAGTTTTCATGAATTTCCTGGCATAGAAATAAGAAAATTAAATAACCACTGTGAAAATAAATAGAATATATTGGTATAGGTAAGAGCAGTGTGCTGGTTGAAACACAGGTGAGGGAGGAATTTTCAGAAACCGGGTCATCGGCTGACACAAATTGATAGTGATGATACCGCGAGCATTCCTCTCTATTGCACACTCATCCTTAATTCCATTCATTTTCTATTTCTTCATCAAAGTTTTACTTCCTAGACGGTCCCTACATTATTCTTATAAATGACAAATTACATGCTGAAGGTTCAATCTTTATTTAGTTCCAAATTTCAGCATAATACATTACTAAATTACTAAAGGTACAGGACACAAATTATGCAGACTAATTCAAAAGGAATACTGACAAAGAAATGAGCAAATAAGGTAGATAAATAAATCAATAAATAAAGTAATACATTTACCTGATAAATGAATAAATCAATAGGTGAAATAGATCGTTAAACAGATAGATGGCATAAAATAGAGTCTAATTATGAATATCAGCATTTGATTTCTCGACTAAGTTATCAATGTCATCATTTACTTGCTTTTTACCTAACCATAAATGATAAAAAAAGAAAAGAATTTTAAAAAAAGAGAATACTTATCATAAATATTTATTTTGCATCAAACATCTTCAAACTAGCATTTCTAAAAACAGCGAAAAGTAAAAAATAGCATTGTTTTTAAGGGGCAAATACTCTTGCACATACCATGCCTTGGGAATATGGCAATATGGCAATTGATTTGACAAATATTTATCAATCAACTTTTCATCAGTTGCGATTAGTGGATTGAATTGAATATATACATACAAAGAGTAGATAAATGCATTATATATATACAGTTATTGAAATCTGATAATGATGTGCTCATATTAAAAAATCTTCTTCTGTTATATATGCATATATACAGTTAATAACATTTTGTTAGCAAAATGTGGTGTGAGAAAATAGAAAAGTAACGAAAAACTTGATAGATAGATAGATAGATAGCTTTTTGCTTCGAGCTTTTAGCTGCTTCTGTCTTCTGTGATACTAACTCTCATCGTCGTAGATAAATTTATACAAGAATACGTCCTCGTATAAATTTTTAAAGCATTCCTGCACTAATTTGGACTAATTTAGATAAATCTATAAGTGCCGATTGCTGTTGCTTCCTTTACTTATCTTTTCATTAATTTTCGTTCATTTCAGTATTTATTGCACTTTTTATGTTTGTTGCATTCATCGCACAATTTACTCTTTTATTTTTTCATCTTAAATGTTTCAAAATTATTTTATCTATCGTATCGTAAATTTTGTGTCAGTTTTTACATACACTAATAATTTATGACAGTTATTTCAAACTTTTAGCTCTGAATTAATATTCTAGTCATAATTCATTAGCTGTCAGAGGGAAAAGAGTTCAAAAAATTGAATTGAACAGATTTGAAATGATTAAAAGTTATGATATGAGCAAAATCAGCAAATTACAGTATTTGACCGCAAAGCATAGAAATGTCATCATTAATTTCTTGCAATCAATTTACTCATTATAAAAATTAATTGTGCGCATTTTTTTTTTAGCTGATTTAAAGGTACTGTGAATTTCATTTCAGTCTACGAATTTTCCCAGCTCAAGATGATTATGTCCAAAAAAGATAGCAGCAACAAATCATAACAATTATTAAACTTTTCTAATATTAAACATGTAGTTAAAAACTTTTCAGTCTTTTTTCTGGCTGCTGAAGAACTGGAACCAAAACACACCACAAATTAAATTTCACACTCATTAATTTCTATATTTACTTTTTCAATGTAAATAATTCTCGTATTATCATAGTATTTTCTAAACCAAAGTGATTATTTAATCGTAGCTAAGCAAAAAGTTCAATCAAAAAACAATAAAAAGTAAAGTAATGCACAAAAGCCATAAGCCAGCGAAAAGTGATTGCACTGCTAGCTAGTGAATAATTTTTTATTACTAAAAGGATTAGTAATAATTGCTATTGCTATGTATTGTTAAATCTTCGTCAAAAACTTGCTTTGCTTAAATATTAGAAACTTCCATGTAGACTAGGGAAAATTTAAATTTTTAAAATCCAGTTTTCACAATCATTTTTAATTTTTCATCTCCATTAAACCAATAAATGAAAATAACATTTTGGATGTAATTAATTACTGTCCGTAATTACTTTGATTAAAAAAAAATCCTTTAATCAAATTATGAATGAACTAGAATTGTTTGTTTATAACTTTCCTTGTCATGATTGGTTAGGATACTATTTTGTGTGCAATTTGATTATGCATTAAATTGAAATTAATAAGATCTGTCAGTATTACTAGTAAGTTTTAGTTCTGAAACAAATATATTACAGCAAGTCTATGATAGCGTTGAAATCTGTCTAATTGATTGAGTATATGTAAAGTATTTTTATCAAAAATACAATGATAAGTTGTTGTGTGCTTGCATTTTTTTGTGTACGTTTACCTGTTTCATATGGCCGCCAGGGAGTTTTTAAGTTTTTAAACACTGAACGCAAACATTAAATATATACTGGTTTTTGTTTTTAAATCCTATTGAAAAAAATTTTGATTTAAATGAGGCTTTAAATAATACTTTTATAAAAATAATGCTACACAATAATAAATATTTATTTATACGATTTTTTTTCAGTTTCTACATTCATCATATTTTGATTACATATTAATAAAACAATGACAAAATAAGTTTCTAGTGATAGTTTTTTTTATTCAAATAAAGCTGTGCTGCAAATTTTTCCTGTATATGTCTTGAATCAGTAATTTTAACATATCAATTACAATATTATTATTATTCATCAGATGTTGAATATAATAATACGCACTTTTAATTTTATTCCCTTTCAAAGAATCTAAATTAAAGTACACTTAAATGAAAAAATTTTGTTCACACTTACACTTTGATGTAATAAAGTTCATTTTTTAAAGACTGCCAAAAATTTTTTTTAAATTGAGACTACGGCCGTCCTTTATTGTATTAAATTGTGTTAACAATAACAATCATTTTTTTGCTAATTTTGAAAAATTGTGCTCGTATTTGCATGCAAATATGAACAAAAACAAATCGGTTTCCTTAACGAAAATTACTTTTTATAATATGTTCTAAAAAATCTTTCAATGTTTAGAATGCTAGAAATGAAAATGCAGATAACTGACATAGTGAAAACATTGATGAAAAATTGCTATATTTAGGATTTATAAGAACACATAATCTTTGAAGTTAAGATAAAATTTGTATAGACAAAAAGAATTCATAAAAAAGAACAGATATTATTTGCAGCTAATATGGTATGAAAAAACAAGCTTATTTAATTACAATGAAGAGAAAGCTAGAATGGAAAATAGCTACTGCAATGATAATTTTTCTTAATCGCAAAAATGCTGCAAAGGAATAAAAAGATTCAAAAAGTACGCATGCATTCATCTGCTATAAATTGGTAGTTAAAAATTAATGAAGGAAAAGGAATATTTTTCAGTTTAGTTTTGATTTGTTGGCTAATTGCAATAAAACAAATTTGAAATGTGAAAAATTTTTAAACCAACAGCATTAATTATCAATTTTTTGGGTTTTTCAAAAAATTTTAATCTAATGCTACTCATCCACAAAATTAAAAAGCAGTAATGTCATAAACACTTGCAATTACTTTCTAATTCATAAAAAAATTAAGAAATATGAGAAAAATAACTGTCATGTTTAAGATTTTGACCGCTTATCAAAATTTTGAGTAATTTTATTTAGCATTTTTTTCTAAATTTTTCTTTTTTTAACATTTCTCTTTACAACCAGTTTGCTTATAAGCCAGCAGATTATTTCCTTATTAGTTTGGATTTGTTGTGTCTGACATTTGTTGTGGAAAATTATTTAAAAGCTAATGCCAGTTTTTCAAGTTAAGGCCGAATTTGACAAAATTAATTATCACTTAGTAAGAGAAAAGAAGCTAATTCTGTTGAAAAATTGGATAAACAAACTTACATGAAAGTTAATTCGTTTTATTTTTTGATTACTGAAAATAGTTTGAAAAGCTTTTGCAGAAAGCGTTTAAAATAAATGCTGATAATTTGTCTTTTCTTGACGTTTGTGAACTTTTTGACTTCAATAAATTATTGCCTACATGATATTGATGGTATGCCATGTTTTAAGAAATTATTTATTATGATGAATTTTTAGTTTTACGTATAATATTATTCCACTGAACGTAATATAATAATTTAAAAATAACTGTATTGGTATAGATAATTATATTCAGTTCATATGATAAAATGACTAGACTTTCAATAATTGCACTGATTAATGGTTACTATTTCTTTACTAACGTAACAAATTATCCCTAATTTTCCAAAATTTTGTATTTTTGCATATGTTGAGATAACCATTTGGTTAAGAAAAAAAGTTTTAATTAATATGTATGAAATAGTTGTTATTATGAAGATGATTGCGTTTAGGACAAAATATTTTTTCAGTTAAGCAAGCAGAGATAAATGAGAAATAAAAAAGCATAAGAATAAAACTTCTGAATTTCAAATATTTGAAGAACTTAATATTTATATAGCTTTGTTTCAAAACGTATATTACTTGCAAAAGATATACAACATAACATATAAGAGAATAAGTTAGCAAGCAAATTTCTACGAATTTCACAGCTTCATTCAATGAATCTCTCTTTTGCAATTCAACAAAAATTTTTGGTTATATTGACATTATCCATTCGTTGTTTTAGTGCTTCCGCGTGCTTTGCATATAATTTTTCATTCGCTTGCTTTTCTTTTTATCTGGAAATAAATTTTGTGCATTACTTCTTTTCCGATTCATTACTTTCCAACTTTTTAAATTTCAATATAAATTCAAAGTTAGTATTTTTGAATCTCAAAAATTTTCGTTTCTTTGATCTTTTTATTACTTATAAATATAAACTATTTGTACTTAAAGCTCAGAAAATTTGAATAAAAATTGTGAACTATATTTTTAAATTGCGCATCTTCCACAACTTTATTGAATTGTGATGATGATAGACTTCTAGAATAATTGATGAAAAAACTTTTAATTCTTTTCATGTATTCTCTTGAAACTCATACCTTCATATTGTTCAGTATTATTTCACAAATTTTTTCAAACAAATGACGAAGTAGACATTTGTTTCACAAGTATTGATATCGTTAGCAGTGACTTCCACTCAGATTTAAGATCAAATGATTTTGTGATTTGTCTTTAAAATTGTGCAGTTATTACTTTTTTTGCGTATCAAAAGAAATTATTGAGATAAAAAAAGTCAAATGAGAAATTAAATATTAAAAATTAAAAGGAAAAGAGGCCAATGTTGAGGAAAATATTTGACCTGTTTCCAACTACATTAATTACTTCATAGCTCGAACTACTGTACTAATATTTAGGAGAAATTTTGCCTTATAGAAAATATGCATACCGCTACCAAAAATTACCATTTTTTTTGTGCTTATTCACTTTTATGATTCTGAAAAACACCAAACTTAGTTTGTGATATATGAGCTCACTTTTTCTCAGCAGGTGAAAATTGCTATAAAATTTCATATTACTTTTCTGTCTATAAATTAATAATTGGCAGAAATGACTGCAATATATCTGATACTAGTATTTTTTTATCCCATCAAAGTCATATAGTTGTATCACAACATAAGAAATTTCAAGATTATAATATAACATAGTCTTAAAGTAAAGTATCTAATTCAGTGATTTTGTCTAAATTATCACCAGTGAATGTTGAACGTCCTCTTATCTTTAGCAAAGGAAAATGCTACTCAATCACCAGTTCACACGAGTAAGTTAACCTAACAATTATTAAGTTTTCCCAGCGTCAAAATTCCATCGTTTTTTTCATATATCATACTAATTATGCAAATTATTATTTGAATTTCGAATTATCTACTAATTTATTTTTGTTCTTTGTTACTCTAATATCTGTAATTTTTAGAGTTTTTCTTCTTGAACAAAATTTTAGTAGCAGTCATCCCTCTCCAGTTTTTAATAGCAATGACCATAACTACATTAATCTGAAAAATTTTAGATCCTCAGCGGAAAAATTTGCTGAATACCATTTCTAAGCTTCATCGCACACAGCAAAGAGTTTACGAATCTTATCGAAAATTGAAATACGGATTGAAAAAATTACACGATGATTACTACCTTATAAAAGGACCAAATATTTTCAGGAGATACTTGCGAATGCAACAAATAATACGCGAGGTATATTTATCAATTATCAGCTACATCATTTCGCATACAGAATCATACTAAACTTTGCTCTATAATCACAGAAAATAAAAGTGCATGTCACAGATTTAAAATAATTGTTACTAAATTATCAACAGTTTTGATGATTCAATAAAAATTGGAGTATCTTAAATTATTTTAAAGACGTGCTTCCTTATTGAGATCAAAACTAAAATAAAAACTAGACGTTTTTCGCTTAGGTGATAATCCTTGATAACCAATACTGGCAACTAATTGATGTACCTAAACCGGAACCAACAGAAGCAGTGAACGATTATGTCTTCCGGTTCGTTGATACATCGTTTACCAGTAAAATTTATGAGGAATAGACCTTAAGTAAGGTAATTATGTTCATAGGTTGGTTTCATAATTTCCAGCAGATTTAAGAAAATACTACTTAAAAAAACAAACTGACTACTTTGTAAAAAACTATGGCTGCAATAAGTTCTAAAGTTCATTCTTTAATTTACTGACATGAAAAATCAACACTAATTTTTGGGGTGATGGAGATTGTGAACGTAACTCAACCACAATCACCTCCACGATCCAGTATTGCATCTTTACTAAAGGCAGCATTTATAGCAGACAGTACGACGGAAACAATTAACTGTGATGCACTAAGAAGTTCGTTAATTCTATATATGAATTATAAATGAAGAAAAAAATCCTATTTGATAAATTTCATTTGTATTATTGCTAACTCACTACGAGGCTTGGTAGCCACTATAATTTTTGTTTCCACAAACACAAGTCAAGTTTATTAACATCCTATGCTTATATATATCCTTTGATATTCCTGAAATATTTAACAGCATACAGAACAAATCAATTTTTAGAGTTATCAACAGAAGAGCTACAACTTGAATGTGATCGAATGCATTCGAAGTTGTATAGACTGCTACGAAAATACTTAGAACTCCGGCAAATTCTTAAAGGATTAAAATCGAACTTCCATTCCTCACGCTTCTTACCTATAATTCCTCGATACAACTTATTAAAATCAATGATAAAAAGTGTGATCAGAGAGCCTACTTTCGCTGAGATCTATCATGAATCGGACACATTGTAAATCCTCTTTCTCGCAAAGGGTTTTGTTATCTATAATTTTTCGCTTCTCGAAGGTCCACAACTGATACGTGTTCTTTATAAGTACTGAATGTGAATTTAGTAACAATGATGGTAAAAACCGAAATTAAAAAATCTTTTGACGAGATGCTGATCGCTCACAAACCTGTGTGTTCCATGGCCTAGAAAGCTTTGTAATGTAGGGTTGATATACAAGCAGTAGAAAGTCCGACCAAACACATATGCTTAAATCTAATCAAATATACTGGATAAGAATTGCTTATAGCGACCGAATACTACATCTTTAGTCTCATAACTAATAATACAAATTAATTCCCAAATTTTCAAACATGTTGCGAGCAATTATTCTTTGAAAAATTGACCAATTTCATTTCAGTATGAAGCGAACTGAGTAAACACACGTTCCATCTTCATTTTTAACAAAATTAGAGATAAATAACATATTTGAAAACAAAGAATAAACGTTCTGAACAGAGAGAACATATAAATTAATCCAGATAAATATGAAAGCATTTCCGTAACAAAAAATCAAAACTCTACAAATCAAAATTGGTGAGATTGCCAGCTATGATCAGTTAGTTATTTCGAGCCAAGTTGTCTGAAAGCCAAGTTTTCTGCCAACTTATCCATAAATTCAAATGTATTTTGGTAATGTTTTCTTGTTACGCTGAAAAAAAGTATGTATTTCGATAGATCAAAAAGATCCTAATACTTGTTTCCTTTTGAAAACTGGTTTCATAGAAAAATGTATTCAGAAGTAAATGTAGTTAAAAACTTTACTTTTTCATGCCATGGATACAGATTGCAAGGTCCTTAGTCATGAAGCCTGCCTCAACAGTATCTTTGCAAACAGCTTCCAAGTTTATTGAAAACTGTTCCAGATCTTTATTGCTATCCAATTTTGCTCGATGAGCCAATCCTCTTGTCCATGCGAAGATCGACGCTTAAATCCGTTCAAGATTATTACGACTTGGACATTTCATGAAACTAGATAAGAAACTATCTAGAAATAAAATTTAAAAAAATGAACGTTCTTACTATGTTAAAATATTACGACACGTTGTCAAATGGTTAACCTTTCCCTATTCTGTTTTCTTGTTCTTCTAAAAAATTGGAAACATTATTTTAAAGTTTCTTCTTTCAAATATGTCATAGCTGTAAATGTACCTATCGGATTAGTGGATGTTTCTAAACCCTGCTGATGCATTCGAAAATGCCGAGTGACAGTACCATGGGCTGCTTCAGCCTCCAAAGTTTTTCCATCCGGGCACACAAGTACAGAAGTCATTAAGCCAAGTGAACCGTATCCTGAAATGTATTCATATATTGTATTTCCACCTAGACGATATTTGACTGAAAGATTGAGTAGGAAGACCGTTAAATGAATCTGTTTCAAGGCATTTGGAAGTAATGACTCCAAAATTTGACAGAGCTTTTTAGGAATAAAATTTGTGTTAAAATTTCTGAATTATTTACACTTGAAAATTCACCTTGTGCTACACAGTCAGACTGTACATCACCATCATAGTTCTTACAAGCCCAGACAAATCCTCCTGAACTTTTCATTACCTGAGCAACCATATCATCAATAAGACGATGTTCGTACCTGTATTTCACTTAAATAGCTCATTCTGGATAAAGTTCGATTTCTGTTAAGCAGAGTGGAAAACCTTTATAAAATAGATGATGTAAAAAACTTACACATTATCAAATCACTCATCATAAGGTTCTTCATGCTGTCCAAAGTATTTAGGAATTAAAGCGATAATAATTATCGAAATATAAGCAAAATTTCTTTAGTCATTTCAAACAAGGAATTTCGCACACAAAGACAAAAAATAACACAGATATCAACATACCAAATTTTTCTTTCTTCAAAGATTTGACGATATTCATCTTCATAAATCTGCTGAAAAATGTCCCGGAAACGCCCATCATACTGCTTCAAAATTGTATTTTTTGTACTATAAATATGATAACTATATTATCGAAACTGTCAATTATGTAATTTCACATGATGTGCTCTGAATTCGATTTCTTTAAACAAGATGACTCAACAATATAATTAATTCAATGACAATATTTTTTAGATGCTGAGGTGCTATCGCTAATTTACCAACAAATTAGTTCAAAAGTAACATAAAATGCTCAGTGCCCCATTCAACCCTGTCAAAATCCACTTTTGAATAAAAATATAATGACCACTTTACCTCAGATACAAGGGATAGTCTCTTTGAAGTGCATATTCAAATGATGCATGAGCAAAATCACGGATGCTTTCATCAGAGTTGTACATCGATAATGACACTCCTGGACCATGTAAATGGACAACCTCCTGTCACAGTCATTATTTAAACAAAAAAATGAAAAATTCTGAGATTAATTTATCATTATGACAACGTGGTTTCAAAAAAATAAAAAAATACATGGTAGTTTTAGGCAAACATAACGGAAATTGATTTTTAGCACTTTTATAACTACATCAGAAATCAAAGAATCAACAAAATATTAAAACAAGTTGTTTAGAATGAAAACTACACATGTTCGATTGGCTGATGGTCCGAATCATCTGGAATAAACTTGATAACCAGTTTCCCTGCACAAGGTACGATAAAATCCGTCGCTTTATACTAAAATTTCATTTTTTGTAACCAACAACATGCAACTGAATGGTTTAACACACTATAACTAGCTTCAGTATACTTTTACGAAAATTAAGGAATGCTCAACAATTAATAACCTGATCAGCATGTGCATGACGACCAATAATAATAGGTTTGGTCCAGGTGTTAACAAGTCGAGGAATGTTCTTCATAATTATTGGTTCCCGAAAAACTGTCCCACCAAGGATATTTCTGATCGTTCCATTTGGCGATTTCCACATCGATTTCAGTTTAAACTCTGTTGAAACAATAGTGTGAAACCATAGTTCAGTGTTTTCAAATATTTGTAACATTACGAGATATTAAATTTTTAAACTTTTCTTAAAGCAAAATGCGGATTTTTTAATAATGCAACCTTTCATTCGATCACTGTCCGGTGTTATGGTAGCACATTTGATTCCTACGTTGTACTTCAAAATAGCATGAGCAGCTTCTATAGTAACTGTAATAGCAAAAAACGATATTATTAAGCTTTTGTAGCAAATGATTAAATCTCTTTGAAGTAAATGAAAATGCTGTTTGTAATTTCACATGAATAAATAAAAAAACTGAAAATAACTGAATTAAGCAATTTCAACCTTTATCATCCGTATTATTTCGGTTTTCGATTCCTAAATCGAAAGTATGAAGTTTTAAATCAACGAATGGAAATATCAGCTTTTCTTTTATCAACTCCCAAATGACTCTACAAATTAAGTCTTTTGATGATGAATCTATTAGTTAGTAAAATAACAACTAAACTGTTCATATTTTAATTTCATATAAATTTCATATAAAACTTTAGTTTCTGTAATTCACGATACGTTCTTATCAAATACCAATAAAAACAACTCATTAATTACAAAGTTAGTTCATCAACATTTTTAGTCTTGGAGCAAATTAACGACAAAAAATACTCATCTTTACTTAAATTAGCATGACATTTTTTCATTTTGTAATTTAATACTTCTATACTGTAATCCACACTACAGTAATTAAAAATTTTCATGTCACATTCGCGAACATTATGCGTTAATAATAGGAGCTAACCGTGTCATTTCATCTCCTTTTATTTCAACAACGTCTCCACCTGGAATTTTCTTCATGATGCTGGAAAAATGTATCGCTGAAATAAAGTATTACTGAGATAATTATTAAGAAATGCTAACGATGTAGCCAATAAATTACTCTTTAATCAAACGCCTCCCTTCTCGTTTATACATTCTCAATTGAGTGAATGACAAATTCTCTACTAATCACCAAACAACTATATAAGAAAAAAAACAGTTGTAATCATACATTGAGAGCGTTTGTGACTGATTACCTTTCTAGTAATACTTAATGAGAATTAGCTTGAAGGTAATGTTTTGATCTTGAAAACATAGCTAACAATAGATGCAATCTCGTAACATATACAATAGGAATCCTTTACTTTACTTATATCTACAACACTTGCATTTTACCTTTACGTGAACTTCCGCCTATATTTACGTGTGCCTACCTATTTCTGCAAAATACAAAAACGTGAATGCCTATTAGGAGCATGAACAGACATGTATGCGCATGTACACATTATATGTTGTAGGACAACACTCCTGAAGAGGAAAGATGCAGCATGAGAAAGAGATGTCATACTACAAGAATATCAGATCGCAACAAATTAACATTTATCGATTGATGGATTGTCTAATAAGTTAAGAATAAAACACAAAATAGTATGGAAATTTGTGTTGTAAAATATGAGAGAATCCAGTTACCAGTTAGAGTAGTTGAATAAAGTAACGAATGATTCATTTTCAGACTGTCTCTTCCTGCCTTTCTTCCGTTTTTGAATGACTGTTTTAGAGTGCAAAGGTCAACAAGAAATTAAACAATTGTTATTTGTTTGTATATAGTGTAGTGAATGGGTACTTACAATTAATTGATCAAAATGTAATAGTAGCAACAAGTAATGAGAATATGAGTAGAATAATGATTGATCATTTAGAGTATATATTAAAGATAAGGATATCTGCTTAAGTAAGAAATACGAGTAACGATAAAGTATGAGTAAATAGTCTTTTTTGTTGTTTGCATTTGGAAAAAAAAGAAAAGTGCGAAGATTTGTTATTTTGATAATAAAAATAATCATATTCGATGAAAAAATATGCATTTAGGTTATCTTTCAATGGCAACGTGTCACCATCCTACATAATGGCCAAACGCATAGAATTGTAGTAGCTGTATTTGAGATATTGATTTATTACTGTGTGAGTAATCATAATTCATATAGACAATGTGAAAAATATAAACACCACACGTTGTCTTTGAATTTGAAAAAGACGTCAAGACATAAAAATTGTTCGTATACTGAGGAAAGCTGTACAGATTCAAATTCAAAATACTTCAACAAAGTAAGAAAGAATAAATTCAACATTGAAGTTTAGAGAGATATTTTTCTGATAGAATAATGTTTATTCGTCTTAATCAATTAAAGTTATTAATGTAAGTCATGATGAACTTGTGAGGCACTTAGAATGAAATATACAACGAATTCCGGTTCCGGTAGATCTGGATGTTACAAGAACAAGCTAGCTAGTACTTATCAAATGAACCTGAACTCTGTACTGTGATTCTTAACTTCCTGCATTATTTACAGTTACTACACGCTTCACATCCTCCAACAACGCTTTTGAGTACTTTATCGATGATGCATAAGTCTAACTCATTTTTACCTGTATCATTTGAATGGGACTTGATTGTTCGTATGTCAATTAGTAATAGTATATCTGCAGCTGTATTTCTTCTGAAAGATGTTATTTTGTACCTCTTATGTAAGTAAGCATTACTACTATTGACTGGCAACAACTGAACTGAAATTAGATAAATTTATTTACTCGTCGATCATAAAGTGTAGTATGATGAATGAAAATGCAGGCAGAAGGATCGTTAGCAATGAAGCTTCCAAAATTCATTTTAACTGCTTGTTGATCAAATTCGTGCCGATCTTTCGATATTCTGATCCGAGAAACTTGAAATAGGTTCGAGATTTTACAGATAATGAATAGAGCAGTATTGCAGAATTGATAGTATTCAATTTTGTTTCCGACTATTATTTTCAAGTTTTTGATCACATATGAGGTGTATTTTAAAGCAGAGTTGATTGCTATGTTTTGCATGGTCCTGATTTTGTCTCTTTATTTACTATTTGCATGTTTAGATTTTAATTGCTGGTTATTTTATGCACGAATCAATAAAATTTAGATTCCTGCTTTGAACAATAAGTTTTCTTCTAATAAAAAGATGGAAGGAAATCAAATATCTCCAAACTACCTCTTATCAAATTAGGCTTAACTTGAACTCCTTCAAGCTCATTTCGACCTCGTTCAGACTTTTATAAGATTAAAATGAAAAGCACTTGAACGAGAATACATCGGACATTAAACGTCCTAAATAAGAGGTTTAGATTAATATTTCATTATTATGGATGCACGTGTGAAACTAATAAATAGGTATTGTGATTATATTCCATTTTGATAAGGTATGATGTGATTCTCTGATTTGAACAATATGCGACACCTATATATATTTAATTCAGTTTATTTTATGATGCAAATATTTATTCTAGTCCGTCCCAGTTCTCCATGTGTGTGTGAAAAATAGTGCTCATATCTTACCAATATTCTGAGCATACTTTAGCTTGCACTGTTGAGAAAAGCAACGCTTTACGTCACTATGCTATTTCTAAAAATTGTTTCATATCACCATTATTTCTTTAAAATGTCATTGTTCCAGGCTATAAAAACTACTGTCATTTTCGCAATTGCTTATACGCATTTCACTCTAATTAATGCTGAATGTGAACCAATTTTAGCATATCTTCACTTAAATCCAGTGACTGACGCTTTTATTTACTCGAAGACGTGGATCACAACATCCAAAAACGCAGAAAAATTAGGCAGTTAAAACTCAACATCTACCACTCCTTATAAAAACTTTTCAGAAAAATGCTGTATAATCTTATAAAAATTTTTTTTTTGCACTTAAAAATTGCAATAAATAAAGAGTTGTAGAGCTTCATTATCAGTCCCATATGATGCAAGAACAAGTAGTAGTCATTTGATCAAAAACAATTTACCCGCTTCAAAAAACCTTGTCATTTGATCGTAAATCTTTACGTTAAAAATTAAAAGTCAGAGAAAAAAGTATAATAAAAACAAAGCTTATATCAGTAAGTACAATCTACACGATTTAACTGCAAACGTAAAATAAGTTCATGACACTTTTAGATGTGAAATAATGCGCATGCGAGTGCCCGAGAAGTCACTGAAAGGATCGCAGCTAGTCTAAGCTAAATGAATAGAATTTATGCATAGTTTATAGAATTTAAAAAACCTGATTAGATATTTGATAAATGCAACGAAGATCTAATCTTTCTTTCAGTGCATACTTGCTTTTTTTTTTGTCAATCTAAGTAATGACTGGAAAAGTTCAAAGAAAAAATATTGCATGACTTAAAGCTTTCAAAGAAATGAACAAATCCAAGGGTGGCAACTTTAGCAGAAAACACATTACAACTACAAAGTAAAGAAAACAAAAAACCATAATATAAACACTGCAGCAACTTTGTTTTTCTCTTAATAAAACATACCCAAATAATCACTGAGCTCCAAATTTTGTTGTGTAAAAGATTATTTGAAGACTTAGATCAACAGAATCTATATTAGAGGTAGCAACTGTTCAAAACACCACGTATATGCAATGAGTATTAGAAGATTCATCAACTGCAAGAACTTAACAGTTTAAACTACTCAATGAAAGCTGTAAGACTGTAAACAAACTGTAGTCACATCAAGAAATTCCGTTTTCTGTTGAGGTGACATGCATAGCAATGGTGGATGATGTGCATGTGGAGAATGAATTTTCAACATAAAAGATGTAGTACGACCATTTTTGCAGTTCATGCTAATCGATTTATGAGTTCGTAATAAAATATATCCAATTCTAGGTAGCTAATTTTACTCTATATTATTTTACTAAGAAATTAGACCGCATGGAAATAAGAATGAGAAGTGCAGTCTGAGATAAATTTGAACTACATTTAAAGAAGAACGTAGATGTAACAGTAATTGAAACGGAACAAGCAGCAAAAGAATGTCAGCTAAAAATAAAACAATTTAAGTTTGACAACCTGAGGGACAACCTACATAAAATTTATAATTCAAGGACCCGTTTGGTTTTCAGTACAATGTATTTTTGTATGGTTCATTAAGGAAAAAGAATAGAATATTCAGGATAAACAGAATAAAAATGGAGCATGATAGTAGTTTGTCTCGCAAAAAATTTGTATTAGGGTAAACAAAAATCTTATCAACAACGAGGTAAAAAGCTAAACAACTCCATGTTTGCCTCTGATCTCCAACCTTAATTGGTGCATCATAAGTGAACTGCGCGAATGAATTTAAATTAATTTTTATGGAGAAAAGTATGAAAATCGAATTTCCTGAAGAACATTAAAACATTTAAAATATAAATCATGTACCGTTGTACTCATAGACCAACAATAATCAACTGATCAATCAAATCATCGGCAGGACCAAATATGTGTGATATGTCGAAGGTTCGTTTTAAATATGAAGCAATACGCTGCAATCATATATGTAATCTTCAAATACATTAAATAATAAAAAATTGTCCCGAAGTTTTTATTTAAGAAAAAATTTTATTTAAGGGGTAAAATCTTTCCAACTTTATTAATAATATATCCATAGTTTACCACAAAAGCCAAAAACCGAAGAAAAAATTAATCGAGCCCAACATATATACCACATTTACGAAAAAAAAACTAACGATGAGTGTTGATGTCATCATAAGCATACTCGAATACAATTCAGTAGCATGCCTTCCTCTACGATCACGAATAATCTGTGCATACAAATAATTCAGAAGTTTTATTCTTTCCGCTCCGACAGTGGCTCTTCCTCTTACAGATAACCCATCAGCATCTACAAGGATACGTCTTACAATTCTCATGTAAAGAAAAAAGTTTTTTTTATTACTTTCAAACGGACACACTTGACTAGTTACTCTCAGAATAAAGATTTAGTAGACGAAATGGCGTTACTGGACCCGAGAAAGGGTACCATAAAGATCAACAAGAAACGAACCTGGATTGAAAAATAACATGGCTTTATATAAAACCATGTGGCTATCAGAAAGTTTTAGTCGTAAAATTTGATGACACACGCCATCAATGAGCAGAGCATTGATCGGTAGGATTTTTTTCCTGGAATTATATACAGCATGAATAGATGAATGAAGAAATAAATAAAAAAATGAATAAATCATTGATAGCCACATGGTTTTATATGAAATAAATAAATATGAAAAATAAAACTTTTCATATATATATGAAAAGAGTTACAATAACCGTATACCTTACCTTAAATCCAATATTTATAAAGAATTTATGAAGACGAGAATAAAAAAACTTACCCACTGGGGAATGTATCATTTCTGTCAATATCTTCTCTTTCCAAAAAACGTCCATCAGGATACCACAATCGTTCAACCTTTACAGAAGATTCATCAACTTTTGTATTTGGATCCAACGATAATTCTGAATAACTGTTACATGATAGTCACATTAGATATCGGCATAAATGTATAAATATATATACGATGATTCTTCAATAATATACAGCATCGACTTTTCTAAATTACTATAATTCCTCTCTAACTTAGCTACTATTGTGACAATTTTGAATTAAACTAATGCCAGTAAGACTATGAAAGATAATACGTTAAATATGTTAAAACTTATGAATTAAAGATAACTGAGGCACTGTAACTAATGAAAACCAACTACAACAATGTTTGGGTTTTTTTATACGCCCATCAACTCAACGATAATTAATTATAATTAATAATATACTGACTTTTAAGCCTTAAAAAGATGCTTCAAAAAAACTTTATTAGATTAATAAAAGAACATACTTGTGTTCATGAATGATGACGATGTCAATAAGATATCCAATGAATTTTGTAAATATTTATCTTTTTCGTACTTGCATGAATAATATGCTAACTGGATTAATGGATAAACAGGTGCAAATGCTTTGATTAACGCAAGCTAAAAATAATTTAACATAATCACGTGAATATTCGAAGCTTGAAAACTGAGTTAATAATGGATAAGATTTATTATCGAATACGGAACCTAACAATCAAAGAGAAGTGCTATGTCATCCGCGGTTAATGCAGTGAAAATGAACAATGGTAGAAAATTAATTGCTCAATAACTTTTGTAAATACTTATCTTTTTCGTACTTGCAAGAATGATATGCTAGTCATCGAAAGTTATATACATATCTTGTCAAATAATATTATATATATTAAAAACTCCCTAAATTCCGTCATCAGTAAACGCAGAAGTGAGTGTATTGAACATTTTTTAAATAAATTTTTTTACTCAAAAATCTTTTCAAAATCTTAAAAATTCATATAATAATTACAAAACCTTATCATTGAGCAGGAGTTGCCTCATTTGAGGAATACACTTCGCCCATTCAATCATTAACGTAAGATCTTTAACAAACCATGTACGCATATTTCCACGATCACAAGGCATTGGAATTATGATAGGTTGCTGCAATTTTTTTGGACGAAATTTTACTGTTAATTTTGAGTCTATCAATAGTAATTTAAAGTACAGAAGATTTATGTATCTGAAGAGGTGCAAACCCACCACTGGAACTGTATAAGCTGAAAGCCAAGCTTCATCATCTAAAAGTCGTCGATCATACATGCATGATGCAGCGGAAGTATGAGGAGGGAATTTGTTGGAACAACGTAAACTGTCTACCTTGAGTTCCAAATTCAATAAATCAGAAAGCAATATAGACATTTCCGTCTGAAATACGTCAATATTGTTACGGAACTTTAAATCCAAGTTCAAATAACGAGACAAATTCACAAATTAAAGTAAACGGTGATTTTTTTAAAAAATAAATAAAAAGCAACAGTCAAAAAAATCTTGTTGAATTACGAATATTTTTTATGGATAACTTCATTGAGTCATTTGTTGCAAAAACTTTTCTAGTGTAGAATATGAGCAAGAAGTAAACATCATATAATCAAGTGTGAAATCATCTAACTTGAACGTCTTGGATATCTTGGTCAAAATATGGGCCATTACTACCCGGTCCCAAGCTCTGTCCAGCAAAACTAGACGATGGACTTGCAACTGCGTCATCGTGAGAACTAAACAGAAACAATATTTAGTGCAATGATTAGGTTGGTACCAAATCGCTGAAGTAATTTACGCCAGAATAAAAAGTGATACTCTCCATCCGAAATAAATTTACTGATCTAAAATGAACCAATCAAAAAATTCAAAATAAAAATCATACACATTGCTTTGTGGACTGCTTTCACCCTCCTCTTTCATTGGTTTCACACCAAAAACTTCTTTAGCATCATATTTTCCTTCATCTTTTGCCTTTTTTGACCGTTTGGTATAACGAATTTTGTCCCTGTCGTGTTGAATAGCTGAAAATATTTTAGCATGTCAATTAGTATGCGAAATCATCAATTTAAAAACATATATTATATGAAAGATTTACTTCCGAAGTGTTGTTTAAGAATTTAGACAAAAAACTTAAAGACCCATGATATTGTTCAGCCAATTTTGGAAGCATAAGTTAGACTTAAGCTAGATTTTACAGTTTGAGGAAGTGCACTGTAATCTAATGAAGTTTACAAAATTTACAATGCTTAGCGGAACTTCATTATACAATGCATGCCCTCATACTGTGAAATCTAGCCTATGTTTTCAAAATTGTCAAGAAACCTATAAACAGATAATACTAGAAGTCTATTCTTACTGGTCACATTAGCCAAATAAGTTTTATAGCTTTAATTAGAACAAACCATTTGGATCCATTCCCATTTTGAAACATTTTTTTAGTCTGCAACTTCGACAACCACATCGTACTGCTGAAATAATATCGAAAGATTTATTTTTTTTTCAATTTTAGACAGAATTATTTCTAACCAAATGTTGTTCCTGGAAAACAGTAAACTTTTCAAAACAAATGACAATGTTCTTCTTTCTTTCACAGTGCAAAATTAATTCGAATAAAAAAAAAGAAGAAAAAATATTCATACTCAAATCAACGAAAACCGATCAAAAAAACATACATTTATCTACGATGCAATTGTCGGAAAATTGACACTGGAAGACTTGTTTATTCTGGAAAATTGCAAGTTGGAACTATGAACTACTTATGTACATTTTGAATTACTTGTCACAAATAAGTCAATATCAAACACTTCAGCAACAGGAAGAAAGAATTTCTGATTGGATAGATTTCCAAGTTTATCTCTAATGAAACAAGAAGACAAACTCTTATGGACTACACTTCCAAGATTGGAATCGAAAATGAAATAGAAAAAAGTACCACAAGTGCACGCCGGAAGAATGTTTTACAACCGTTACAGCTAGCAACCGAATAGTGAATACCACTGGCTAAATCCGAGCAAACAACACACAATGTACCTTTCGGGATTTTTTCTCTTCCTGCATTAATAAAAAAAATCTATTAATAGGTGGAAAACAAAGATCCAATCACTTCTTAACATATCCTTCATTTGTAAACTCTGTCATTCCGTAGAAACTATTTAACAGAGTTTCACCTCTCACTTTTTCATCACATCCTGAGCTTCTAATAATATAAATTTCTTTATCTATTCAAGAAGCAAAATGACATTATTAGGAATGATAAGAAAAAAGGTGTATAATAAGAATGTGACGTAAGTTTGATATTCTGAATGACTTTTATTTGTAAATAAGATAAAGTCACTTCGCAGTGACCAATTTACAAAAGAATTTTTACTGAAAAACAGTAGAGGAAAAAGTAAAATATCATTCCTTTAGTGCCATCATAAATTATTAGTTTAGGGACAAAATTTTATAAAGTACAAATGTTGCACGTGAAGCGTAAAAAACTCAAGTTGAGATATAACAGTGATATAAATTGATAACATGAACTTTGCTTAATACCAAAAACACTGTAAGATCATGAAAAAAAACTACTGCATAAACTTACTGCTACTAGGCATGTTGTTTCAGAAGGAGTAGAACAGCAAGTTGTGAACATTATAGTACAGATATTATGAAAATACTGAATTTTTCGTTAATTCAAAAGAATTACGGGAAATGTTGGCAGCGATTGTCATCAAAATCCTAAATGTCATTCAAACTGAAGTAGGAATGCACTTATGTCAAAATCACGTAACATGTAGTAGGAATATGAAAGAAATTCGCGGAAAGAAAGAGATAATCAAATAATCTAATCTTCAAAAAATCACTGCAGAAGAATGAAAAACTTAACAGCACTACAAAGCAAATACATACTTTATTGCACACTGTTCCTGAGCAACAAAATTCAAATATAATTCATTGAAGGAATTTTAGGAAGTTCTCATGTACAACAAAATGTTTTCTAACAGTATTCCTTAATAGATTTAAGTATGATATTGAATTTTGTTTTTTCGCACAACCTATCATAATCCTTTTAATACCACTTTTCCTCTTGCCACCTCTGATTTCGTTCTATTTACATGATAAGTACTGCGCTCTTATCACTGCCTTTCATGAACACCTTCTAGATTGAATAATCAGTTTGATACAATTTTCTTACTAATGAAAAAATAATAACAATAAGCACTAGAGTATATGAAAGCACTGCTAGACGATTAATTGTCTCGTAAAAGAAGGAAATATTATCGAAAATTATTTCAAAATTTTAAACATGCACAATGATATGTTTAACAGCTAATGATATGCATGTATGTACGTGTCCATACGTACGTGTACGCAATACATGTGTACGTGTGTGTCTATGCGTCCGTACGTATTGTGTATATGTGTGATTGTACATATGTAAAGTTAGGGTACACAATACTGCGAAGACAAATAAATATAAGGTGAAAAATGAAATATAAAGGTGACATTCGCAAATGGCCTCGCCTGCTCCACCACTTATTCCCTTTATTTCCTGGATGCCCGCTAGATCAATACAGCCAACAAGCTGCTGCGCAGTGCGTGCAACACACGTGCTCATTGCGGTACCTCCTTTTCCCACTTCTTCCTCTCTCATTCTTTGTTATCTTCTCCTCAGTAATCCTATTCTTTTCTCATTTATCATGCACGTCAAACCTAACATTACGTGCAATATATTGCTATCATTTCATTCATTCTTTCTTTCTTTTTCACCACGTTAACAAACTTACATATATATTACGTAATACGTGTTGTTCTATTACACCATTGGAGACTTAATGCATAAACAATCTCATACCCAAACTATACCATGCCATATAAAATATCATTTTACCATTGATACTAAAGCAATGCTAGTGACTAACATTTCAGTTAAGTTTTTTTCCACGCTTATAATGGGAATATTCATTCAATAAATAAAATGCATTATTTTCGAGTTATTTAAGTTTACTTAGTGTGAGAATTAAAGTGATCAGCAAGAGGGCAAATATGCACTTTACATTGAGCTAACTCTTTTCTTCTAGAATGTCAGCTGAAGAGGATTAGTTTCAATGTTTCGTATAGTTTTGCCTGCAATTTTTGCACTTCTCAAGTTTGCGCCTCATTACATTTTGCAACTAACAAAGACAATATTGTGCGAAAATCACTAACTATCAACATCTTCACTTCATCCTTCTCTTCATCTTGAAACAAATTTTAACACTGCACAACCATGTGGTTAATTTATGACTGCTGCAGTCAGTGCAAAAAAAAAAGTAGCGTTACGAAGAAAAATACAAAACCGAAAACAAATGAAAAATTATATTTCAATACATTTGCTTTCATATTTATATTTCATTTACAAATATGTGTAATATACGTGTGTGTGTGTGTGTGTGTGTGTGTGTGTGTAACGAGACTAAAAATGTAAAATTTGTTATCCATGTAGGTGATAAAAGAGTCCATTGATATTTTAGCAAGAAATGCCAAAATCATAAATATTTTCAGCAAAAAATATTTCTTTTTTGTAACAAAAACTTATGCACATTATATATATACACATATATATATATGTATATATGTTTACTGAGTTTCTGTGATAGAAATGCAGATAAGTATACTACGACATATTCATTATATAATATTGGATACCCAATTTATATTTGACTGGTTTGGTTTATCACTCGACCAACTACTTATTGACTGATTAATTAAAATAATAAGATTGCCAATCGCTTACAACTGAAGTGAATTTTTTCGCTTTCTTGTTTTTGAAAAACAGGAAAATTGACTTGCAAATATCAGTCCAGATTGGTAAATATTATTTTGAAATGCCTTGAACGTGTTATGTTTATTTTATTGAATGAAAAACTGAAAGATGGAATGGAGCACTTATAAATCTATGATTTTTCATATTAGATTGAAACATCGCAATTAACTACTACATTAAGTAAATGATCTCTTAACTGTATATTCCTTCATTTTCATCTTTCATTTCATTACATTCATATATGATTTACGGCACAACAAAAGCATGAATGTAATGGAGTTATCTGCAGCTAATCAGTTTCGAATTAAATATGAACTGAAGTTTAGATTCACTTATTATTATCTTCATTGCAATATGTTAAAAAAGTATCACAGAATACAAACTATTGTATTGCTTATATCATTAGGGAACCTAATGAATTTCTTTTCAGTAATATTAAAAAAAGGACAACTGTAAAATGATATAGTATTAGTTATTTCTTGCATTTCTATCATTTCATTACTATCAGTTACTAAGAATTTTCGTTAAAAGTTCAGAATTTAGTTCAATAAATTTCACTTCTTGATTTTTTTATTACACATTATTTTGTGAGTGAAAGAAAAATATGCTTACGTCCATGTTTTTGTTTTTTGATTGAGCGCTTTGACTTCATTTTAATATCGTTCATTTGCTCATCATAATTGTATGAAATTTGAATTAGAGCAGGAGTTGTATTAGCAATTGCATCAGTTGTTATTGACTGTGATGCAACAGTATCACAGTCAATAATGTTTAATTGCAAATTCATTCAGTTGTAGTAGATCCGAGAGAAGCAATGGTAAGTATACTTGTTGAATCCATATAGAAGGACGAAGCAAATTGCTCGAAATCTAATATATGCCTTATCATTTCAGTCATTTAAATATCAATAATAACAATTAGTTTATTGTGCAAAATGTTTTTTCCTGGCAAACAAATCCTGAAAATTGTTTCCTAATCTTAATAATCAGAGGATAACAAAGTCAACTTGTAAGTTAAAAAATGTTAATTCTCATAAAAATAAAAAACTCTTCCAAATTAAAACGTTTATTCTTATCACTATCTAATAGTGTTCATTGTAACATAATAACAAAAAGAGAATTGTGTAAATTGAAGTACAAAAACAATAAAACGATCAGCAGTATACACAATCAGCATCAGAAGTAAGCGAAAATTAAAATCTCAGAATTTCTTATATTCTTTTCATAACCGAGCTAATTTTGTTCTGCATTAATTATAGTGCTATCTCAAAGTTCTAAGTTTCTAGCAAATTTTTACATCAAAATGAGAAAAAATTGCCATGCAGAAGCACTTAACTTTTTTAAGGAAGCAGTATATTTGTTGTAATTAAAAATTTATAATCTCATGGATGATGCAGGATAAAAATATGATATAAGAATTGCAAAATTTGAAGGAATTAAAAAGTATGCTTTCATGGCAACCGTAGGAGGTTTATTTTTTGATTTCCTGTAATAATTCCTGCAATTCGATTAAAGATTGATATTGTTAAATGCTATTAAAAAATATATCAAACTCAACCGTAAAAAAATAATAAAACTTAATTTCTAAAAACTTATAGCTGACATCGACGCATACTTACTCTCATTAGCATATTTGGATTAAGCTGTCATAAGTCTATAAGTAAGAGATATATAATTTGCACCTTTCATTATAAGTTCACACCAAATTGATGTTAATTATATGTAATTTAACGTCAATCATATTTAAAATCTTCATTTTATCTTTCTCTTTGACAACGATGTGAAAAGAAGATTAGACCTGAATTTCTGTAAACTTCGAAACAATTCAAGATTTTTACTATATATGATTTGTAGGAATGTATGTATATTTAAAGCATCTCACATGCATTATTTCAAATAATTAGCGAACTAGCATTGTGCACTTATTTCTAGCAAATAAGCTGAGGCAAGCATTAACTCATCGATTGGGCATGGCAAACTAAGACACTTTTTAAAATTTCCTAAATTTAGAATGTTTTAAAGTTTCATTCTAATGCATATTTATTGTAATAAAAAAAAAGGACTAATATGGCCAGTATTTCGCGAAATTCGTTTTCGCTGGACAGATCTAGAGCTATTTTAGTTTTCTAAAGAAGAAAATGCATTTCATTAAACAAAATTATTTAGCATGCTTGAAAAATAAGATTTTATACTTTTAGAATAATATTCAGTTTTCACTTTCACATCACTATTAAACTTATTCAGCCAACTAGAAAAAAGAAAAAATTAAATGCTAAACAGACAAATAGTTGTTAAATAACGGATGTTTATTCAGATTTATTCAAGAGAGAGAAACTGGAAAAAACGACTTCAAATGTATCTTTTTCTTGTTTTCGGCACCTAAATTAGAAGAAGTTTGCCTCAATAATTTTTTACATTGGCTTCTGTTCAGATGTTCAAGATAAAGTCTTGTAAACTCTATTTTTGAAAAACGAAAAACGATATAAATGCATCAACATTTGTTTAATAAAATGTCATGTATTGATAATGATAATAAATTGACAGTGATGATATGATGAACAGTTTCTACTGCATACAATAAAAAAATTTCTTCTGGCCATACTGATAACGGCCATATTTCCAAAAGGTCAAGAGCATGCAAACGATCCTTTTCAGCTCAAAACTTTAAAGATAGTTTAGATTGCAAAATAGAAAAAAAAATGAAATCTGTAACTTTTTTTCTTTAATATTTTAATAGAAAAATGCTTGAACTGTGAAAAAATGAAAGATTTCACATATCAAAAGATGAATACGTGAAGTAACATTATAT